GATAGAGAAAAGTGGAAAGTATCATTAAATTGTAATCTTATAACAATGCCCTTCAAATAGAAAATTTCAATATGCCATTCCTTTAGTTGTCTCTGCAGTAAGAGGAAGAGAATGGATGGATATGACGCCAGCTTACTATAGGACTTTTAGATGTTTTAAGGAGGTCAAATGATATGCACCTACAGCTTGGCACTGTGCTTGTTTTATTTGCATAGTCTTGTTAAAACATCTTAAAAGCAGGGCTGATGTGGGAATTCCAGGACATCCCTTTTAGATGTATAACATATTTAATGAAGGTATCCTATCTAATAAAAGGGTAATATGCAAACTAAGCATCACTCCGTCACAAAGATGGTGGTGCCCATAGCCACAAGATGGCAGCGCCCAGTCCCCTCAGCCTTGCCGGAGTCTCCCAGTCCTGGGGGGGCTGCCGCTGAGAGCGGGAAGCGTGAGTGGCCTGGCGGCATGCTTGTTTCGTCACCGTGGCGACGGCCTCTGGGCAGTGGGCGTGGAGTGACTGAGGCAGTCGCTTGCTTTGTCGCTGCGGCAACGCCCCAGCCTCAGAGGGCCTCTAGGGGACAGGGGGGCTGGCCCGCCTCCGCGGCCGAGCGAAGGCCCGGAGAGGAGACTGCGGGCCTGCTTCCCACAGAAGCAGCGTGGCTCCCTCCCACCTCCCGTGGGTGGCTCGCTTCCACCTCCCGAGGAAGGTGCATGGCTCCTGTGGAAGCAGTGCGGCTCCCAGTGGCACACTGCGGTTCCCACTGGCTCCCGCAGAAGCAGCGGGCAGCTTACTGCACACGATATCGCGCGATGGGCTACCAGTCTTTTATAAAACTGCCAATTCAACACCCTTGATCTGGCCAGCTCGCTCTTACCTGTGCACGTCTCTCTCCAGTCCTCTTTTGGACTGTTTATTTTGTGCAGACTGAGATGTTTTTCTCTACTTACCTCCAGCCTTCTGTTTCTGCCATTGCCTCTGATGATACCAGTCGAAGTTTCTAGGTTCCCAGAGCCTAATCAGGGCTCCAGGGCAGGATGAAGTGCTTATAACTATGCCTTGCTTCCACTATCACCTTGGTTTCCAAGGAAAGGCAACACAAGAGTGAGGAAAGGAGGGATCACAGGGCAGCATGAATTGTGTGCATGTCTCCCTCCCAATTGCAAAACAGGCCATGAAATTGCCTCTGTAGTCACATCTGAAAATAGGCAAGTGGACCATAAGTCATTTTGTAAATGTTGCTTCCTACTTGCGCCAGATTGTGGCCAGGGCCATGCTGTTCCACTACCCCCCACTGCTGTGACTCAAACCACCCAGAAGACCTGCCCAGCCTGGATGGTGACACAGCTCATAGAAAGAGATGAGACAAATTCAGGACAGGCACCAGCCAGCTGCTATCAACATCATGGTGTGACCTTGATACCATACTCTGGCCCTGGCCCTGCACCTGGTTCAGGGGGTTGGGCTGGGGAGGGAGTTAACCTTGGCACGTCTTTCTTACCCTCACTTCTTACTTTCCTTTCTTAGTTCCTCTGTGAATTCTGTATCATCAGACCTTCCTACTGTGACTTCACTTTACAATGAAAAGCACCCTTAGGTAGGGAATGGCAACCATCATTTTTTCCCCTTGCAATGGCAGACTATGAGCCAAAAAGTTTGAGAACCACTTCGTTATTAAAAAAACACTATTCTTCAAGAATGGGATATAGACAAACATGAGAAACACATAGTCCCTGAGATTTGGGTATACTCTTATTCTTTGTTTATTTCTCTGGGGATATATAATCAAGTGATATCTATAAAAACACTTTGAGAAAAGTTTGAAGCATTATATGGATACAAGGTGTTATTACTTCCTGTACAAGCTCTAATAGCAAAAATTATAATTAGCATTCAGTAAATGCTAGCTAGAAGTGTTACTGTTTAACACCCCCCTCCCCTTAATAAGTAAGCTGTAATACTTATGTAATACTTCCTCCTCACAGGTATGAATTAGGAGCCGCTCTGTTTATTGGATGGTCAGGAGCCTCACTCTGCATAATTGGTGGCGTCATATTTTGCTTTTCAATATATGACAACAACAAAACACCCAGGTATGAAAAAGAAACAAAATGACCTGTTAAAAAGTACTATACTGTTCTAAATCACTACGTGTGAGACAAGTTATAGATAGTTCATACTTCTTAGAAACTTCAAAAACCCAGAATTGGGAAAGGTTAGGAATATATTGTAAATATATTAAACATGGTAAATATTATATTGAGTAGAATATAGTTAATTATAGTTTGTTTGTTTTTTAAGCTCATCATTCTTACATCCCAAAGCTAGTTCTGGAAGTAGAACTATGGGTCTGACTATGGGGGCATTCTTCACTTTGGCCTCATCATAATGTTCACATAGAAATTGCTGATGAAGGTCACTGTGGTCTCCGAGGTTCCTGGAAGAGAAGTTTTAAATAATGGTTTTAAAGGATAATCACTGAACAGATGAAAAAGCCAGGAGCTTCTTCTGCAGAGATTGTCACACCAGCAGTTCAGAATTGACTTTGAAACATTTCTTGGGAAGAAAGCTAACTGAAAGCAATCAGGGAGACTTGGGCTGAGCTATGACAGAAATAGGGGGAGAGTGGATTCTTCCCATTTTTGTTTGCCCTACGTGTAAAACAGAATCTACCGAACTGTGTTTTGCCTTTCAGAATGGCCTACGCATACAATGGGGCCACATCTGTCATGTCTTCTCGGGCAAAGTATCACGGTGGAGAAGATGTCAAAACCGCAAACCCCTCCAAACAGTTTGATAAAAATGCTTACGTCTGAAGAGCACTGCTGCAAGCTGTGTCTTGGGTTTGTTATAAAGGTGAACCGTTCACACAGTGATCCCACTGGGGCTCTCCTATAATTAACACTCAAACTATTTTTAAAATATGAATTTTTGAAGTTGTTGATTGTATGGATGTAAATGTTCTTACATAGTTATAGACTAATCATTTTCTGTTATGGCTTTCTATAAAAAAAATAAACAGGTTATTTACAGGATGTGTATATATTTTATCCCTTTGTAGCAGCAAAGGGGGTCAGGATGTATTTTGTAAAGCAGTCTTAATTAGATGTTGCAGTCTTTGTGCCCATTCCTTATGATTCTTTCTTCATATATTTAACAGAAAGCGTATAACGAGTGCTGTCTTGTAAACAGTAAGTCGTCTCGGGGGGCAGTCTGAGACTATTCCTCAAAAGACGTTCGGGTTGCGTTGACATGTTCTGGCTGCATGTTGTGACTTCTAGTTTCTTGTACCTGTTGCCCACTGTCATTCACAGTGACTGCTCAAGGAAGGGCTAAGGGGCCAAGATGTTATGGCCCATTACCTGGCTAGTCCGCCTTAAATAACTGCGTAGGCTCCTCTGATTCAGAAGGCAGTCACTGGGGTGGAGCATCAGCAAGAGCTGAGCTGGCAGCGCTGACCATGGCTGCCTTTGAAGCCAACAAAGGAAGTCCTGAAGCCTGCGTGGTACCCGCCTCCCACAGAAGCGACGGGCCAAGTTCTGACATCTCTTAGGTCCTGTGTGTGGAACTAACCGGGTAAGGGGGAGGCCATTATTCAAATATGGAAATTGCTCCAGTGATTTTTGAACAAAGACAATGAGTTATTCCCTAAACCAGCCTTTTACCACATGTCCAGCACCGTTCTGAACACTTTACATGCCCTAACTCACTTCAGCCTCACAACCGCCCTCTTAATAAAGTACTGTTAGGATCCTGATTTGACAGAGGAGGAAATGAAAGCGTTTAAGTGACTTGCCACAGTCAGTGACAAATCAAGGACTCTGAACTGAGGCAGTCAAGGGTAAAATATATAGTTTCAAGCTTTGCATAAGAGTTGGTATCTGTGTTATCTGTGAGCAAGACACTTTCTGATACTAATCACAGCATGGGTGAAAATAACATTTTTTTCTGAAGCATGAAAGACTTAAAAGGAAAATCACATTGTTTGGAGGTTCTCAGTGGAAAGAAAAGGAAATGAACATGTTTGTTACCCCCCCAAAATTGTGTGTGTGTGTGTGTGTGTGTGTGTGTGTGTGTGTGTATTCAACCATTTCAACCATGATAATACTTGAAATATTTTTTCCAGGGATATAAATGAACTGGAAGCAATAAAGGGAAGTTAGGTGCCACTGGCTGTATAAGGGCAGGGTTTTCTTAAGTGTGTTTAAAACAAATTTTAAAATTTCAGAGTTGTGCTAGTAAAGATAATGTTTAGATTGTACTGAACTGTTATCTATATATATAAAAGCCTAATATGCTAAGTGTCCAACCAAGCGGTCGACCAACCGGTTGCTATGACATGCACTGACCACCAGAGGGTAGATGCTCCGACCAGTAGGTTAGCTTGCTGCTGTGGTCTGGCCAATCGGGACTGGGTGAGATGGAGCCGGACATGCCCTAGAGCCCTCCCATGGCCCCTCCCCAGCCACCGGCCCCAAACTGCCCCGATCGGGACTGGGCAAGATGGCCCTGATAGGCCCCAATCGCTGGCCAGGAGAAGGGACCCCACCCATGCACGAATTTCGTGCACTGGGCCTCTAGTAGGATAGTAAGAAGCTAGGAAAATTCCAAGGCAGGAGGAATAGGGAAACTGAGACAAAAAAATTAAAATAAGGCCAAACAGTTTGGCCACCTGTAGCCAGATTGTAAATAGCAAACCCTTATCTTCCCCCAACCAAGAATGCTGGAGAGCAGATTCCAAAGACTGCAGGAGAGAAAGGGGAAGAAAAGGGGGAGAGGAGGAGGAATTTTAATGCGACTAGAGACTACATACCTTAAATCACCCTGGAACTACTGAAAGACCGCAAAGAGGATGAAAGAGGGGGAAGGAAAAGTGCAGTCTTATCTCATCCCACTATTTAAACAGAGAAGCCAGCAGCCTCGGGATTTAATTGCCAGGTGCTTCTCATAAATTCTGGGAAAGCCATAACAAAGTAGAGGGAGAAAGACCTTCAGAGCTAACCTGTACCAGGATATCTAGCAAAGGAATTTTAAAATCTAGAGACAGAAGGGTATATAACCACTTGAACCCTCACCAGACTCAGATGTAGTTTAGTAGATTTGTTTGCCTTGCTTCTTTAATACGTTCGCTTACTTTAATTTTTTTAATAAGTTGGCTTCATCACAATGCAATTATCTGGAGTCACTCGTTTGAATTCATTCCTATGAGCATGACAAGAATCGAGCCGGGGACAGCCCTCTCCCTCTGACTCGGGGGGCTGTCTGATAACACCTCTCTGGTGTCTGAGAGAGGTGCCTATCACAGAACTATTCTAGCTCCTGAGGAACTTAGAGAGAAGAGGGAGTACAAGTATGGAAAAGCTCTGCCAGTAACCAGAGCTGTGCCTCAGTGAAGGGAAATAGAAGGTGATGGTCCAAAGAAAAATGAACACACCAGATCTAGCAGGACAAAATGATAGGCCTAAACAGATAAGTTAAAGCATTGGGTTTTACAACACAGGTGTAGCCACTAAATTTAACCCTTTGAGTGCCAACCAATATCCTAGGAACTATGCTAAAATTGCCAAGGCATTTTTGCTGATTTTACAGCAGTTTAGGAAAAAAATTATGAATCGCAAGTAAATGAAGTTACATATTCAAAAACTTAAGGAAACCTTTACTACGTTGACAGGACGCCATTTCGAAGCTTTGATAGCGCTCCCGGCACTTTTGGCGAAAGACAGGAGGAGCGCGATCTCGCTCCCCGGCACTCTAAGGGTTAAATGTTGGGTGTACTTAGCAGAAGTTCATCAATTTCCCCAACGCTTTCCCTGGTAGACACAGAACATCGTTAGGATGAGGATGATCCCAATAACTATGTCTCAAAGTTTATCTAATTAAGTGAACTAATAATGCATGAAAACAACAACAACACAAGCCCAAGTAGTTTAAGATCTCATGACTGAATGAATGAACAACTGAATGAATGAACGCAGTGGCTCGTGTGCCTGTGTGCCTTCTTAGGCACAGTGTGTTTTTGTAGGTTGCTTATCTCTGTCCCACTGCATCAAAATTTTATTCAGCTTTTATTAAAAGTTTTAGAAACTTACATATAAAGTGTGTACATTTACATAAAATGTTCCCTGTGGGAAGTTTGTAAAAGGATGATAGTGGACTACAAGTAAAAAGACAGGGGGAAGGGGACAGAAATAGGTAAATTGTTCTAACTTTAGATCAGGATGTTATATGGCATAACCAACAAGGCAAGCTTAAATCCCCTAACAAGATTAAGTTTAACTCAGAAATCATCTCTAGTAACTCAGCCACAGTCACAATGATGTAATGGAGGGCTTTACTTAAAAGGATGACAAAATGAAGAGACCCCAAAACCCAACAAACCATATAGTTAAAATGTTACTTTTGGGAAAGAGAGTACAGATAGAATCACAAAGTATGAAAAATGCAAAAACACTTTATATGAACTTTCTGACCATTGACAATGCCATTGTTAAGAACAGAACTAAATTAGTTTTGAGGCATTTTATAACATGGGTTGGGCATTTTTTAAAAGTGGAACAAAAACTACATACACATGAATTCAGTAATGACAATCTTTTCTATTCATATTTTGATAAATTAATTGACACTTAAAATAGCTTTTTTCTTTTCTTTTTTTTTTGGAGCAAGTAAAGGTTTATTGATGGAGGAGTCCTAGCTCTAGAAGATGGGAAAACTATCAAATCCTTCTTAAGAGAGTCTGGAATCCAGGCATCTATTGTTCCTAAGGGAAGGGAGGAGGGGCAAGGCAAGGGGTGGGTGCTGGTGTAGGCAGGTAAGCCTCAAAAGGGATCCAAGGAAAAGTGTGAAATTTCTCAATCCCTTTGTTCCCAGTTGGTCCACTGATGCCCACTGGTCTGAGTCCAGTTATGGCGACTCCTGTGAATCTTTGAAAAACAGTCAGTACTTTGTGCATGTTTCCCCACCTCTTTGCTGACAAGAGGGTTGGGGGGGG